CCCAGTATGGCCGCGGAAATTGCTGCCACACCGAGATTTGAACTCGCGATGTTTATGAGCAGTACTCATGTTACGAAAAAAATTATTACAATACCAAAAGTTGTGTACTTCAAAAGATCATTTTACACTCTCGAACAGGTCTGTTTGGCATGGGTTGGCATTACAGGAATGGTTCCAGATCTATCTCGAAGCTTGATACGGAGAGAGCCGAGCCGAAATTCTGCAAGACCTGGGGATGGACAATACCCAGTCGTCCAATAGAAGTGCCTGGCGGTGTTAGAATGATGTCCGCACAGCGGCCGGGGAAATAGGTTTTGTCTAAAAGAAAAAGACAAAAATGCTCTGAGGGTAGGAAGGGCTTGTAAAAATCTCACTGCTGTCTCTGGAGACATCCCTGTCCCACACTTATATAAGCAAAACGTTCTCGGGCAGAAGGGATGCGCAGTGTTCGCACATATATTTCAAGGAAGCAGGGAAGAATCCTGCTGCAAGAGGACATATTGCAAGGATTTGGGAGATAGACATGCAAGCAGAACGCATGCACTCTTACCGTCAACTTCCTCCAGGTGATAGCTAAGCTTCTCGGAGTTAACGGGCTTGGAAGAGTCCGTGTACTTGGCCTCCAGCACTAGCATAAGCCTGTCCAGCAGCCCATGGACAATTTCGAATCCGGAGGTTTTGTTACAGTAGACGGCGCACACGCGACGCCTATTCCGACATCCAACGTCTGTGTGAGGAAAATACAAATGACACACGTACATTTCTACTTAGACGAAATGAGTAAACAATGTGTTGGCACGCCGTTTGCTAGAGTTCTTACCTTTGCTGGGGTCCTTGAGCACAACATCCTGCACTTCGAACAACTTCAGAGGAAGTGGAAGACTTTTATTATTGGCCAAAGTATTGAGTAGACCAGGCAGGAGGGTTGTTCGTACTACCTAGAAGGGCGGTAAAAAAGCCGCTTATGACAGCCACGGGAAGGATGGGGTTTTCTTAACTTCGAAAATGCAACGGGCCAAAGAAGCGTTTGACATATTAGATTCCAGCGAACTTACCTGAAAATCGAGGGTCTTTGGGTTACTGATATGTACTGCTGGTATGTCCTCCAGGCGTTTTTGAAGGTTTGTGCTAATGTCTGCACGGGAACACTAAAATAATGCAAAAAGGTTTTAACAATAAGATAAAAGCTGCGCTGGTAATTCGATGGTCTTCATGCGTAAAATCCAACCCCACCTCCAGGCTGGTGCGCGCCGGAAACTTGCTTTTGCT